AGGAGAGAAAGGAAGTCTTGTAGAGACCTGTCCACAGACGTGGCTCTGGACAGATGCCTCCCTCACTGGACAGCCCGGCAGGGAGCACGGCCCCCAGGTGAGCTCAGGTTTCTGACCTGAGGCTTCGAGGTGAGAGAGGTCTGATCCTGTGCCAGTTTTCAGTGATGGGAAAGAATTTTCCAGAATTTTTGTTAGATTGGGAGAGGAAGTCAAACAAGCATGAACAAGTCACCAATGTTTCTTTCATAAATTCCTTTATGTTGCAATAGTTGTAAACGATGAATGAGTAACAAGAGAGAACAATGACCTGGTTAACATATTATGCAACAATAAATTCTGAGACAAAGTCCAAAAAGTTACGGAGGATTCTATATTAGTTGATTTTAGAAATGGCATAATCCAAACCTATTTTTCACTAAGTTTTCTTATGTAACCTTAAAAAAACTTCTCACTCTCATCATCTGGCTCTGGAAAATCTTTGTAGTAATAACATTTTTACATTAGGGGAAAAAATTAAGTACAGTTGTTAAGCACAGGTTAAAAGGGATGATAGGCACAAACTGTAATTACAAATCAATACTTACTTGAAACTGAATTTAAACCGTTTAATCAGTGTTTCAGATTAACTTAAAATAGGCTTCAAGAATGGTTTTTAACACCTTTCTTTTCTAATGCACTGTGGAAAATTCTTACTTCTTCAGGAGGAAGAGCCTCAAAAAAGTGTCACCTTGTCCTCTTGAACATGCTGAAGCGGTTTTGGATGTGGTAAAAGAAACACCTGCAGAGAGAGAAGCCCTGTGTTTACAGAGCTTGGGGCTCGGCTGGGCGCGGTTTTAGGGCAAGGGGTGACTTGGAGGGGCTACACCCAGTGTTCACATCACTGGCAGGAACAGGAAGCCAAGGGCTGAGAGAGGTGACAGAGATCCTGAGTGGTCTGAATCATTGCAACTTGACCCTACTTGCTGGAACTCTTTGGGAAACAAAGATTTTCCTGGATAGTGTTTGTTGATGAAAACGAATGAATCACCTTATTCAGTGATTCAAAAAAAATGCACTATCTGTTGGTTTCAGGCTACCAACAGTTACAGTATCTTAATGGATAGGAAAACTTCAAGTTCACTGTCACTGAGGATACTTAGACTTTCTTAGACGGCTTGTGACAGTGTCAATATCATATACCCATTCAATTGCTTTTTCCTGTCTACTCCTTAGGCAAAATTTGGTTAATGAATTTCTGCTACCCATCAATCATGTATTTTGGACATCAGCCTGTCCACAACTGGCTGCAAAGTACACGTGTGTATCAACACATGTGATGTGACTGTAGCGTCCATGCTGAATTGTGTTACATGTGGGCATAAGTTCCCTGACTTCAGAGCTCTGCTGAACGAGACCTGGTGATACCAACATTCACACACATAAAACCTCTCTTGTACTCAGTAGATTCCCCCATTTCATACCACTGCACGTGCTCTTTCATTCTAACATCTTTTCACTCAGTCCTGCCAATCAGGTAAGAACCACCATAAGACTGGGAGATACCACCTTTTTAAAACAAGTTTCCTAGTGGAATTTATTTTTTAAGAAAATGTCTACTTTTAAAGCAGCAGTTAGAAACTTTGTTCTTGTAACATGTAATACTGTTATATCAAACTGTGGATTTAAATACGTTGAAGAGTTTCTTATTTCTTTAAAAAATAATATAGATTTCTGTGTTACTTAATGGTTTCTCCATTCTTCCAGTTCCAAGGAATACAGAGGTCTCCGTCCTGCATAACGGAGTAAAAGTGGGAGACACAGAGGTGCATCCCTTGCAGGTAAGGCAGGGACTGTTCCAGAAGCCTCTTACAGCAGTCCACCATTTGTATACTGGAAACGCTGGGCTCCTTGTAAAACTTCTCCAGAGAAAATTTCTTCGTTGAAGCCTGCATCAGTTCGTTTTCAATGACCTTCAACCTGTCACGTTAAAAACAAACATACTATTGCCACAAGCTAGAGCCAAATAAAAGAACATAAAACGTAAAATACATTTTTATATAGTGGCGCTGTAACTTTCTACTTCCACCCCTGAAAACGGTACCCGCGAAGCCCCAGTGACAGGCTCAGAGGACGTGCCCACGTTACCGTGCAGCACCTATTAAGTTATTTCCACATGTATCTCCACAAGTATTTGTTAAAGCTGTTTTTAGCAGTAATGAGGTAAAAATAATACATTATTTAAAAGGCTCTTCTCCTGCCCCGTGAGCAGCTGGTGACTGAGGAAAGCAGGAGCTGAGAGCAAGACCCCCAGCTGCGGGGGCCCCCGGAGTCCAACCCTGACCCAGGGCCAGCCGGGCAGCGCCTCCCCTCCGGGGGCCACAGCGGCCCCCGCTCCACAAGGGCTTCAGTGAAGTTAGGCCCACAGAGTAAACCGCTCAGCGCTGAGCTCAGTGTCTTCAGTACTTTCCTCAGCAGGTGGCAAAGGTCTATGATGTTTGAGTAAGTGGTTCTGTCCCCCCAACCTCGGGATGTGCGCAAGACGACCCCGCCTTGTCCCGTGCTCACAGGAGGACAAGACCAGCTCGTGCAGCACCTGGGAAGCCACGGAGAAGGTGAGTAAAGCAGAACCGCCCCGGGCAAGGGCTCCCAAACGGGGCTGACTGCAGGACTGCGTGGGTTGGAAATGCCTCCGAGGCTCCACGGAGCCACCCTTAATCTCTGCACGAGAGAGAAAAGCGAGCGCCACAGCATATCCGTTACCAGAAAAACACCCGAAAACAGAAACGGTCCCTGCAGCCCGTCTGCAAGGCAGCCAGCATACTGAGTCCCTTCGTCAGCAGGACCCAGAACCCTGTCCGGGTGGGTGCTCTGGGTTTTCCTAGAAGGTTACTCCTCCTGCACAGTGCTGCTTAGAGAGTCAAGCGGGCGGACAGCAGTTAGGCCGGACAGGGTTCTCAGTCTACTCTCACCAGGATTTGGCAGGAAGAACCCTAAGGTACCATCAGCGGTAGGGGTTGCCAATTTTTTTCTGTAGAGGGCTTTTTTCCCTCGCTTAAAAAGAAAAGGGCGGGGGAATGGCTACTAATTATCTGGCTTAGAAATGAGAGCCCAGCAGCGCCAACTACAACGACACGTCTTCCCACTGACCAAGGAGGGGCCGCATTTCCATTCCTTCCACGAGAAGCCTCGGGCCTCCTCCCTGGGTTCCCCTGATCCCGGGCCGACCTTCACAACCAGGGGGGCCCGGCAGCCCCTGGGATGCCACGTTGGGGGAGCGCGGGTCTGGGAGGCGCTCAGGTGCTCTTCAGGGCCGGGCCCCGCACAGGAGACGCAGGGAGCAGCCCTTCCCTCCTTGGGTGCCTCTGTTGTCTACAGCAGACTAATTAAAAATCTTTAAAAAAATTGCTTTTGGCTTTCTTTCTAGTTTCTTTGCTTCAGTGTGTTTGTACCACAAAAAAACAGAAGAGGAGAAGAAGGGAAACAGCCTGAACAAGAGAAGCATCGTGCCTCGTGAGTGCGGCTGGCGGGACGTCCTCCCGCTTCCTGCGGATGCTGAGAAATGGCCAGGCGTTTCCTGGGGGTGACCTGTCTCTCCCTTGACACAGTTATGTCTGCTTTTTTCAGTGAGAAGTTGCACTACTCTGTCTTTGACATCTGAGTGTGTTCTCCACGATGGCATCTGCCTGTTCCTACTGTCTCTTGTTCGTGACTTACAAGTGCTTTCTGGAGTTCCAGTCCAGGTGGTGGGGCAGTAGGACCACGAGCTCGCCTCTCCTCGCGACTACTGCAAAACCACAACTGGCTGCTAAACAACCACTGGGGAAAAAAAAAGACTGGAAACTAACAAAAAAGGTCTTCAACTGGAAACAGAAAGAGGGAACCACAGCAGGACCGTAGGAGGGGCACGCTCGCAGTATAAATCGGGTCCCAAACCCTGGGGTGGGCGACCCACAAGCTGAATAATAAAGTCACAGAGGCCCTCCCACAGGAGTGAGTTCTGAGCTGCACGTCAGGCTCCCCAGCCCGGGGTTCTGGCACTGGGAGGAGACCCCAGGACATCTGGTTTAGAAGGTCAGTGGGGCTGAACTCCAGGAGCCTCACGGGGCTGGGGGAACAGAAATTTCATCCTCCTGGGAAGTGTACACGCCGGGTCCAAGGGCAGAGGCAGTGATTTCATTGGAGCCTGGGCCAGACTTGCCTGCTGATTTTAGAGGGTCTCCTGGGGAGGCAGGGGACAAGGCCTCACTCATCAGAGGTCCAGGACCAAGCTCCACCCAGCAGTGGGCAGGCACTAGCTCCTCCTGCCAGGAAACCTGCATAAGCCTCTAGTCCAGCCTCACCCACCAGGGGGCAGATACCAGAAGTAAGAAAACAATCCCAAAGCCTGTGGAAGGAATCCACAAACACAGGCCTGACTCTACACTGGGACCAGCTGGACCCTGGCCCTTGGGTGACAAGAGAGTGTACTGCTGGGACACACAGGACCTCTCTCCAAGGCCAAGAAACATAACTAAGCTACCTAAAAATACAAATAGAAAGACAGACAATATGAGGTGGCAGAGGAATATCTCCCAGGCCAAGGCACAAGATAAAATCCCAGAAGTGATGAGGAGATAGGCAATTTATCTGAAAAAGAGTTTAAAGTAATGATGGCCAAGATGTTCAGAGAACTTAAGAGGAACATAGATGCACAGAACGAAGTTTTTAGAAAAGAGTTGGAAAATATAAATACCCAAACAGAACTGAAGAATAAAATCACTGAAATGAGTAACATACACTAGAAGGAACCAAGAATAGACTAAATGAGGCAGAAGAATGGATCAGGGAGCTAGAGGCCAGATTAGTGAAAATCACTATTGCAAAACAGAAAAAAGAATTAAACTATCCTCATTTCTTTTCAGAAAACTCTGGGACAACATGGAGTGCACTAATATTTGCAGTACAGGGGTCCCAGAAAGAGGAGAGAGAGAAGACCTGAGAAAACTTTTAAAGAGACAATATCTGAAAACTTCCCCAACCTGGGAAAGAAAACACTCACCCAAGTCAACCCAAAGAGGAACACACCAAGGCACGGTAATCAAATTGACAAAAATTAAGGGTAAGGAGAAAATATTAAAATCGGCAAGAGAAAAGCAACAAATAACGTACAAGGGAACTCCCATAAGGTTACCAGCTGATTTTTCAGCAGAAACTCTCTATAGGCCAGAAGGGAGTGGCATAATCTATTTAAGGTGATGGAAGGGGGGAAACTTACAACCAAGAATACTCTATCCAGCAAGGCTCTAGTTCAGATTTGATGGAGAAATTAGAAGCTTCACAGATAAACAAAAGCTAAAAGATTTCAGCACCACCAAACCAGCTTTACAGTAAGTGTTAAAGGAACTTCTCTAGTCATCAAGCCATGAGAAAAGAGAACAAAAAAGAAAAAAACAAAAGACATACAAAAGATTGCTTTGGCAGTTTGGGGTCATTTATGGTCCCATATGAATTTTGGGATTGTTTGTTCTAGTTCTGGGAAGAACGTCATTCTGACAAGGGCTGTGCTGGGCCTGTACGTTGCTTTGGACAGCGTGGCCATGTTGATGATGTGGATTTTTCCAATCCAAGAGCACAAGATGTCTTTCCATTTCTTTGTATCTTCAGTTTGCTCCATCAATGTTTACCATTCCCAGAGTATAGGTAACCTCCTTGGTTAAGTTTATTTCTAGGTATTTTGTTGTTTTTGATGCAATGGAAATGTTTATGCCAGTTGTAAAATTCTGGTTTTTGAAGTGGAAAAAAAAAAGTGAATGAAGGGCCACAAATGGCAAAACATCAAAAACAAAAAGCTACAAAGATGTACTGTATAACATGGGGACTACAGCCAATATTTTATAACTATAAGTGGAGTACAACCTTTATAAAAATTTGTGAATCACTATATTGCATACCTGTAACATATAGTACATCAACTATACTTCAACTTAAATATGATATTGTAAAATAAATACATTAAAAAAAGTACTTTCTGGGCACCTAAATACTCGATAAACGTTAGCTGAGTACATGAACTTTTTTTTCAATTGAAGTATAGTTGATTTACAATGTATTAGTTTCAAGTGTACAGAAACGTGTACTATATATATATACACACATTCATTTTCTGATCCTTTTCCATTATAGGCTGTTAGAACCTACTGACTACAGTTCCCTGCGGATGGTCCTTGTTACCTGTTCTACATACAGTAGTGCATGTTAGTCCCAGACTCCTAATTTATTCCTCTCTTCCATGAACATTCTTTTAAATGTTTATTTCTGCTATATCAAAATGCTGAAATTATTTAACCATTTTTATATTACTGTACATTTCTACTGTTTCCAGTTTGTCTAAGTGATTTTTCTATGCGAAATAGGGAGCAGAGGACAGGAGAAAACACAGAGTTACCACCGAAGCCAACAGCAAGGAGAGCCCATCCGGGGACAGATGGCTTCTCTCTTGGCCCCGGTGAGCCCAGGTTATCACCCTGGACATGAGAGCTGGAAGAGGTGCGACCAGCTCCCGAGGAGTGGATTCCACAGAGGGCGCGCTTCCTACCTTCCGCCGGGCAGCAGCGGTAAGAGCCAGACAGACAAGTCATGCGGTCTGGATGGGGTCTGGGGCCTGTGGGGTCCAGATGGACGGGACCCAGACATTAGTGTGGAATTGTGGCTTTTAAATTGCTCGGCAAGCTGAGGGTCCTGCAGAGGTGCTCAGAGGGCCCCCTTGGGGGGATGGCCTCTAGTTCCTTTCCTCTGTAACTAGAGCACCTGTGAGCTTGTCTCTTGTTTATAAACTGGGTTTCCAGTTAAGAATGCACTTTAAAGAGATGCAGCTAAGAACTGTCTGCAAACCGCTCTCAAAGAGCAAGTGTCAACTCAGGAAAGGGAGCCACGAGCCAGCGGATGAAATAAAGGAGGCCTTACCAGGGAGGGAGCACCGGGTAAAGGAGGAGAGAAACAGAGGGAAGGGAAACTCAGCCCAGAGTCAGAGGAAGGGCAGAGGGAGAAGACTAAGAGGGAGGGGACGGGGGAGAAGCAGTAACCAGAGGGATGCCTTCCCCACGTCTGTGTCAGCCTGGGCTCCTCACCCAACTCCCCCTGCAGTCCACTGACTGCACTCCCATCTCCTGCTAGAAACAAATTCCAGGAGGCTGGGGACCAGGCCCTCATCTTTCTACCAGCAGTGGCTTTGACAGTCACAGCAAACGATGGCTGAATGAATGAATGCATGGTAACCAAACCTCCTTAGGCAACATTTAGAAAAACAACCCTCTTGTGAATTTAATACTCTGCCTTTTCTTTGTAGTAGGTACACAAAACGTTATCAAGTATCACCCTCCTGCCTACAAAACTGACTATAATACATGATTCCTTCAAAAATACAAAGAAAGCACTGCTTATGAACAAAAAAACTTTTTCACTTCTGGACCTGAACAATTCTCCAGTGAAGACATACAAATGATCAACAGGTACATGAAAAAATGCTCAATATCCCTAATTATCAGAGAAATGCAAATCAAAACTACAATGACGTATCATCTCATACTAGAATGGCCATCATTCAAAAGTCCACAAATGATAAATGCTGGGGAAGCTGTGGAGGAAAGGGAACCTTCCTACACTGCTGGTGTGAATGTAGTTTGGTGCAGCCGTTATGGCAAACAGTCTGGAGATTCCTCAAGAAACTCAAACTTACTTAATGTATGACCCAGCAGTCCCACTCCTGGGCATATATCCAGAGGGAACCTTAATTCGAAAAGATACAGGCACCCCAGTGTCCACAGCAACACTGTTTACAAGAGCCAAGACATGGAAACAACCTAAATGTCCATCCACAGATGACTGGATAAAGAAGTTACAGTGTATTTATACAATGGAATACTATTCAGACATAACAAAGAATAAAATAATCCCATTTGCAGCAACATGGATGGCCCTGGAGAATGCCATTCTAAGTGAAGTAAGCCAGAAAGAGAAAGAAAAATACCATATATCACTTATATGTAGAATCTAAAAACAAAACAAAACATAACCAAAAAAACACAAAAACTTATTTATGAAACAGACCGACACAGAAAAACTTATGGTTACCGGTGGGGGAATGGGGTAGGAAGTGATAAACTGGGAGCTAGAGATTTGCAGATACTAATATATAAAACAGATAAACAAGTTCATGCTTGGGAACTATATTCACAGGGAATATATATAGCACAGGGAACTATATTCAGTATCTTGTAGTGACTTACTGTGAAAAAATATGTATGTATGTTCATGTATGACTGAAGCATTATGCTGTACACCAGAAACTGACACACTGTAAACTGACTATACTTCAATTAAAAAAAAAAATATATATATACAAAAAAAACTTTTCACTGCTCAATTTAATGAAAATGCAGATGAAGCTTGCTTTCTAGCAGTAGTTTTCAAAATCTTAAGCAGTGAAAATTTCTGTTAATCAAGTAGTAACTGATTTTTCCCCCCTTGTTGCCCCCCTTTTCCATCTGGAGAATTTCTCATAGTCTTATCTCTCATTCTGCTCCTGAGCTGACTTCTGTAGGAACAAGCCCCTCTTCTCAAATTGAGGTACGTGATGGTAATGCAGTCTGAGGTTATTATACTGAGAAAATGGCCACATCCAACCCTTGGCAGCACAGGGTGGGGAATAAACAAACACGGAATATCCATGAATCAGTTGATTTCCTAAGTTTAACAGTTTTAACGTCCCATACTTACGAGCTTTGACTACCTCAATTTTTAAAGATTAGACTGAAGGACAAGACAGGAAGGGGGCTAACGGCACTCACTCTTCTTTCTTTTTCATCTTCTCTCTGGCCTGCTGGGCTCTGGTGAGAATAAACCACTGCAGGTTTGCTGGATCGCAAAGGATCGGGATGTTAAAATGCCCGAGCTCGTGCAGGATTGGGGCATATCTGTCACTGCAATCAAACAGAAAAGAATCACTGAGCCCTCCAGCCCCTAGTCCACCCCCAAAGAATCAATTTTGTCTGATTAATGGAAAAGGAATTCATCAAGAAAACCAATTTTAAAGGAAAATCCACTTTAAAAAGCAAAACTGATGGGAAGTTTTGCTGTCCCCAGAGACACCCGATCAGGAAGACCACACATTCCTGGCCCTATGACCTTTCTCATGGTAAGGCCTGTATTCACAATCTCTATTTACAGGATGTTCTAGTGACTTGATCTTTCAGTCCTCTCGAGTGTTGCCAACAGAGGCAGACACTCCTTCAATTCCAAAGAGTCACACACAGAATTACAAAACCATTTAAGGCACGTACACTCACAGCTGATCTGAGTGAATGAATAAAAGTAATTCTGGTTTTAGATACTTACCTGTTAAGGATCATCTGTAAACCGTGCAGACTTCGGGGGTGGAAAGGAACTCTGCTTTTCAGCAGTCTGTTATAGAACACGTCTAGGAGGGAGTAATACTCTTCAAGTGTCAACACTGGCTGTAATTCTTCAATATAAACAACTTGGATACCACCTAGAAGACAGCTTATTTGGTCTTCCAAAAGCATCAGCCTCCTCTGCAGGTCAGAGTAACTTGGTAATCTTTCAAAAAGCTACAGTGTTAAAAAAAAAAAAAAAGGCAGTATTTAGTTTTGTTACTTTAATAGCCCAAATTTAAGACTCCAATAAATGGTATTGAGAAATTTTAACAGGAAAATTATTTTCCTAAAAGAAAAGTTTACGTTAGTGATAAGAAAAAGACTATGTAATGCTGGAAATACTAATATTCAAAACAAACCACTGTAAATTTTAGGAATTTTTAGATAGGAGTTGAAAAGCCTGCAGGAAAAAAATATGTTCCAAACAAAAATAAGTCCTAATATTTATTCAGGTAAGAATCTTAAATGAGGTTAGAAAGATTAAATGGTAGAATAAAGAACAGTTTTAGAAATAAAGCATATGTATTTCAACTCCAAGCCTGTTTTTCTTTGGAGTTTAATTCAGCTACTTTCATTTATGGAGCCCCTACCAGATACTTTAAGCACCCAACTGGGCCCTTGGTGTGGAGAGGTTATAAATGAGTTCATTAAGGGGGGTGGGAAGGGATAAACTTGGGAGATTGAGATTTGCAAAACCACTATATATAAAAATAGATTAAGAACAAATTTCTGCTGTACAGCACAGGGAACTATATTCAGTATCTTGTAATAACCTTTAGTGAAAAAATATGAAAACAAATAAATGTATATATATGCAAGACTGGGCCACTGTGCTGTTCACCAGAAACTGCCACATGGTTTCAAGATATCTCAAGAAAAAAAACAAAACAAAACCCCCAAATCCGAGCCCATGTCCCTGCTTGCCAGGGGCTCAGGGTCGGGTGCAGGGACACAAAACAAGGCACAAGGTCAGGGGGAAGGGATTGGAGGTTCAAGCGAAAGTTCCTAAGCAAGTCTAATGCCATCGATACGAAAAGACAAATAGGATTTAGGGAAGCTTAGATGCTTGTGGGAAAGTTTCAGGGGAAGGAAACAGCACGTGCCATTGTGGAAGCACACACAGGGACAGCAGAGGTGGCTGCTGTGGCCGGAGGGGCGGGGCTGAAGGAGCAGGCGGCGCGGTCAGGGAAGGGCCTGGTGCGCTACGTCAAGGACTCAGATTTCACACAAAAAGCTGCAGTTAGACAACTTCCAGAGAAGGTGAAAGGGATCAAAAACTCTGCAATAATAAGAGCAATAGTATCAAAATTCTACAAATCATTTATAATATACTTCTAACACTGCGAAAAATTACCACCTGCTTTTCAATTTTTCTCTCAATGGGTTATTCGTGTGTAAATGGTAACTACATTGTAAAAACTTTTGAGAGAAGTGTACAGCCATAGAACTTTCATCCAGTTTCCCCAGTGGTGACATCCTGCAAAACCATATACTGTCACAGCCAGGAAATGGACGTGGCTACAATCCACTAACCTCATTCAGATTTCATCGTCTTACTTGCACTTGTGTATTTAAGTGTATGCAGTTTTATCACGTGTGCAGTCGCATGCCAGACCGTAGGCAAGATGCAGAACGGTTCCGTCACAAGGACCCCTCCTGCTACACTTCCACAGCCACGGACACCTCTGCTCCCCCTCTCCCCGACCCCTGGCAACCACTCCCCCCTCCCCGATTGTATTACTTGAAGAGTGTTACATAAATGGACTCGTACAGCACGCAATCTTGGGAGACTGGCTTCTTTCACTCAGCACATCCACCCGGGCTGCTGCTGTACCGGCAGTTCACTCCTCCTGTTGCTGGGTGGTGGGCTGCTGCAGGAGGTGCCAGTTTGTACCACCTTCAAATGCTGAAGGATACTGGGGTTTTCCCCCTAGTTTTTGGCCACCATGAACATTACTGTACAGTTTCTGTGTGAACATAATTTTTCACTTCTCTAGTGGAAACGCCCAAGAGGGCAACTGCCGAACCACGTGGTAAGCAAGTGGTTATAAGAAACTGCCAGACTCTTCCAGAGAGCTTGTGCCATTTTACATTCTCAACAGCAATGGATGAGTGAGATCCAGTTTTCTGCATCCTTGCCAGCATTTGGGGGTGTCATTATTTTTCATTTCAGACATCCTGACAGGTGCACAATGATACCTCACTGCAGGTTCAATTTGCATTTCTCTGCAGCTTTTCATGTGCCTCTGTCATCTGTATGTGCTCGTCTGTGACATATCTGTTCATGTCTTTTGCCCATTTTCTAACTGCATTTTTTTTTAATTGTTGAGTTTGGAAAGTTCTTTACTTAGATACGTAATTCTTTATATATTTAGATAAGACTGTCAGGTACATGGTTTGCAAGTATTTTTTTAAACAAATGTTTGATTTGAACATTTAATCAAAGATACATGAATGGCAAATAAGCACATGAAAATATGCCCATCATCATTCACCATTAGAGAAATGCAAATTAAACGCACAATGAGGTAATACCACACACCTATTAGAGTAGCTAAAGGGAAAAAGATAACCATAGCGAGTGTCGGCAGTTCTTAAAATGTATCTGGCTATTCCACTTTTAGGTATTTACCCAAGAGAAAAGGAAATATATGTCCACATAAACATTTGCAGGAAAGTGTTCACAGCAGCTTTATTTCTAGCGGCCCAAAACGGACATAACCCCACATCCATCAACAAGTGAATGGACAAACAAACTACGTGGAAACAACAAGGAATAAATTCTTTTACGTGGAAGACCATGGATGAATCTCCAAATAATTAAGCTGAGTGAAACCGATCAGATCGTCCCCCAACCTGCGCTTTGATTCTACTTACAGAAACCTCTAGAGATGTAAACTCATCTACAGGGACACAGAGGGGACGGTGGCTGCCTGGGGAGGGGATGCGGGATGGAGGAGAAGGTTTACAAAGGGTGACGGGTGTGTTTACCATCTTGATAATGGTAATGGTTTCACAGATATTTACATATGTCACACCTCATCAAATTATACATATTAAATATGCGCAGCTTACTG